AGTGTCCTATAAAAATCCGCGTTATTTGCATCGCGTTTTGTGCCGAACAGAGATTGTCGCTCGGGTGACGCACGGTAATTAAACTTCTGTGTTGCTTATTCCGCTAAGATTTACAATTTAGACGTGTCATCTGTTTCCGCGACGAGCTGCGCCACTTAATGGAAGTTCTTTTCGCTAATAAGACACGCGGGAAACTTTTCTTAGCCGACCTGGCTTCGCGGATATAGCAGTTTGTACGCGTTACTTGCACTGATATCGAGTAAAGTTAGAGCAGCAGTCTTCTATTTATAGCGCTATTGAGAGACAGTTTCGTTATTAATTCTATTATGTCCAATACCATTCGATAAGAAACGCGATGTCTGACGTATTATAGAGCTACACTACTGGCATCGGTAGTATCTTTGAAAATGTACTGTTTGTTATCGACATATATAATTATTCAATTTTAACTCATTCGAGACGGCGATTTTTTTCGAACACGGTCCCCCAGAAACGAAATTTATTTTTTTCTTATATTCGTCATTTTTAATCAAAGAAACTTGTTTACTGTGGAAGTCCCCCAATTCGTAAGTGAATTCGCATAAATAAAACAATTGCACACAAAGGTAGTTTTATTAAATATTAACTTGGAATTCAACAAGATATTTCTGTTCAAACAATTACATTTTTCAATATAGTCCAATCATTTTGTCCGACATTATCATTTTGTGATTGGTAACACTGCCCGGCGAATTTTTTGGGAGTCGGTCGTACCGAATAAAGTCGTTTTAGTATAGAGATTCGTGTTAATCTATATCCATCCTGAAATCCTCTCACAATAGCAAGTTTTATTTTCACAAAGAATTACAGCACGCATCTAATGTCAGCTTTTACAAGAGTTTACGGTACTTAAGGAAATTCCTGTTCCTCCATAACGTACTTAAAAAGCTTTTCTGATGGTTTCTAGTAGCTTGTAAGAGGCACTATACCTCGCTGTATGGTCTTCTTTAATATCGAGTTATGTTACTTTAACGTAGTTCCTTTTATCACCAATGCATTTAGAAGACTCTCTCGATCGATTCTACCATGATTTATTACTCGAGCACAGTTCATAACTGGAAGAGGGTTCTTTTCAGTGATAACCTATTTAGACCGACTTTTATCAACCGAGTCCATTCAATGCCGTAACTTTGCTGCCGCTGTCTGCTTTGGCATCGTTCTCCGGTACTCGAATTAAAAACCGAGGACGTGCGAAATAGAACGAAATCTCTTCCGAATATTTATAACAAAGATTTCTCTCCGTCGAGGAAATTTTCGAGGAAATTTTAAATATGGCACCGCAGGAAATTAATTTTCAAAATTTTCTGGCAGCTCGTTGCGTCGGTTCGATTCGTTTCCTGTAAACGAGTCACTCGGAATGGTTAGAGACATCGATGCAGATGCCGCCAGCTTGTCTCCCGACGGAGCATTCCAAGTTCAGACCAAGGAGAATCCGGAATTCGTTCAAGGCCGCTCGTAATCTCTCCGACACCGACGCTGTCTGCCATCGTTTGTCAATGTCGGAGATATTTCAACATTCGTCTCGCGCATCCCGCCCCCGGTTAAATCTATATCCCACAAATTCCTCCCTTCTCCGATTACCGCTGCGAATGAAATCCAAGATTACACGTGTCCCGACTCCTATTGACTCGTTCCACTGATTTCGATTCAATTACAATCATCCCCCCTCGATCAAATTTGCTTGCTCGAGCTGACGAATTGTTTCTTTCGAATTTCGTTTTCGTCGACAAACATTTTCGATTAAATACTACGTCGAGATTGAAACGACGACATTACTCGTTCTATTCGTTACACAGTCCTACTCAAACACGATCGACGTTTCGATTCATTCTACGTTTATTTCCGTCGAAGAAGGACACCTCACTGGGTTAAAGGAATCGTTCGGAACTTCGATAAATATGTATCCCGTTGAAAATCGGGTCAATTGCTCGCGACTGGTGCGCCGCTCCAACATTTAGAAACCCGAAAGCGATCGCGCTGACTCCGGAGCATACCCCAGAACTTTGCGAGACCAGACACAGGATCACACTCTATCCAATTTGAAACAGTTTCGACGGGTAGCCTTCTGGCGACACTTACGACTACTTTGCAAGTCGCTTCCCGAATGCTTGAGAACGTAGCCGCGCGATGAATTTCCATTTAAAGTCGCATCGAATTGCATTCCGAATCATTACGAATCACTCGGAGGGATCAGGTTACGTTCGAGCCTGTGCTTTGTAGGTAAATTAAATTTCAAGTTGTATCAACTTGCTAAGGAGTAAAATTACTTTCTCTAAATATTAGTTACGTCGACCATTCGCTAATCACTGATTAAGAAATGTCTGAATAATCAGACGTTATGTTGGACATGTCCCAGAATTAGTGTAAAAACTGGAAAGGAGTAGCTGAGACGATTCTGAGTGCTTCGTTTTTGAATCATTAACGAAAAACCACCGACCAATCACAGCGCGCGAGAGGCAGGCTTGAGCCAGGAGACTCGGGTCAGTCATTGGGCCAGCCAGCGGTCCCTCCTCTCGCGGCTGAGCGCGCGCTACTGAGACGCTGTGATTGGTCCACGGTTTTTCGTTAATAATTCAAAAACGAAGCATCATCCGACACTCTTGCAAAGGAAGTTGTTATTCAGAATCGTCTCGACTACTCCTCATTTCCGTTTCCTACACTAATTCTGGGACACCCTGTACAGGTGTTCGTTTCTGTCACCGCAAGATTACTCACCACAAGATTAGTTCTGAAGCACACTTCAGAAAGCTCAACGTCGTCGTTTTTCCGCAGTATGTTCGACGGTCTCGCAAAATATGCAAATGTAAACAAATAGAGAGCGTGGTAGCGAAATAGCTTTGTCATTTATAAAAAGTTGATCACTTTAATAAACAACTGAACTGGCGGTCTTCCGGTTGCGGCGACGAGTTGCTTTGAGAACGCATCGTTGCGATTTACTTTCGGCCAGCCTTGAGATTCTCCCTCGAGGATATTGGACTCTGGCTGGTGTCCCATTTCAGAGGTAACGTAATTGTTAAACAGACGGGACGATAGCCGAGGGACGGAGAAAGAGTAACGAGGATCGGCGACTCCGTTGGGGGTGGAATCCGAGCGACTCTTTGCTTTCGTCACACTTTGTTTAGTGATTACGTCGCCTTTCGAAGAGAAGCGTCGTCGAGAATGTTCTCGGTTGATTGCGATGCTCGAATTATATTTGAGTTTTTTTTTTTTTTAAGCCAAATTGTGATTTATCGAGATAATATACTGATTTTTCACCGAAGACGGAAGCAGTGATAATTTGATGGATTCCTTTGGTCTCGTCATCCCTTATTTCGTAATTACGTTACCCTTGAAATGAGGGTGGCTCGATATTCAGGGGAGTTCGTGGATGATTGATTGCATTCGCTGGCTCGCGGTGCTGGGTTTTTGATGGAACGTTGTTGACGTTAATTGAAGATGGCAGAATTCGTTATCCATTACGTACAGGGTGCTTTGTCAAATATGATTCCACTGTGTGGCTCTTTTTCTAGTAGGCATAATTAATTCTGTCCAAATCAGGTGTCAAAAACGAATTCCCATCGCTGTTTTTCTCAGCTGAACGATCATTTTATAACATTAATTTCCTAATCTTAAACGCTCAATTGTAAATAACTTTTCGCTCGTGTAATTGGTTAAATGATGTCGAACTTTGATACCGACGAATTCTTAACTGAAGTGGAAGAATAAACGTGAGAAAGAATTCACCCCGACACCTGGTATTAACAATTATTTCGATCGCTTTGATGGGCTCGTTTCATTATTGATAAGGGTTATTTCTGTTGCAGAGGGGTGAACCGCGAGCGTATAGAGGGTAGACTACTTAAACGGGAACATTTAACCGACCACCCATTGTTTATCGATATACTTCTCTATAATAAGATAACGTAATCATATTAATAAATTCAGTTGTAAAAAGTGTTCTGTTCACGTATCTACAAGTATCCAAAATAGTCTAACGATACCATTTCTTACGGGTCACCCTATAGGAGTGTAGGGCAGGAAAGACGACAATAAATGTCAAGAAACTTACTTGAACCGTATTAATCGGTGTGCCTGAAGTATTCTTTAAGGGCTATTCGTAGTTTTATTAAGAATGAAACTTTTCCAGGTCGGAAATTACACACAAAGGGAAAAAATTATGGTTTTTGGAAATATCTTCGTTCCTTCATCGAACGAAGTTTGCGTGCTATGGTTCCGGTTGTCTTCTGTCCGAGAAATAATCGAATTAGGCCGCTTAATTTAACGACGCGTCAGTGGCCCGCGAACGCAGGACAACTCTATCGAGGAAATACTTTCTGTTATCGTAAAACTGTCGAAACTCATTCCCCGCGAAATGCGACCGGTTCTCGTGGTCTGTCATTTGTTTCTGAAATTCTGCCTCGGTTTTCTTGAATGTCTTTGACCTGTGCTCTGTAATTTTCCACCTGGGCGCAAGCATAAATTGAGCAGTGAAACTCGGAGTTGGAAGGTATGAGTTAACCCTTTATTTACTGGCGGGACTTATAAGATCAGGATGGATGTGTAGATTTTAAAAACTTTCGAAAAATTCAGTAAATAAAGGGTTAACCGTCTACGCAGTGAAACGTCGCGAGGGGCCCACAATATTTCTTAAGAATTACTTTAACACTGATTTCTCATATTTTCATATATTTGGCCTTTAGTTATATTGTCCGGACCTTTAAAGATGAATAGTCACACTGCTTTCGTTTACGTTTGAGAATAATCGTTTTTAAATTTATGAAGGTTCTAAGAGTTCATTCTTTGGATTAACTCGACTTGTATTTTATGAATTAATGTCAGAGCTCTCATATTTTCATATATATATATGGCCTTTAGTTATATTGTCCCGACCTTTAAAAATTGATAGTCACTCTGCTTTTGCATACGTTTGAGAATAATCGTTTGCAATTTTATGAAGGTTCTAAGAGTACACACCAATATGGTACGAGCCAATATGGAGCCAATATGGACGCATTTTAAAAACTTGTGAAAATTTCAGTAAATAAAGGGTCAATAACGAATAACAAGAAGCGAAAGTAAAGGGAGTAATTGCATTAGCTGAAACACTTTATGAAATTCTCTTCCAATCTTCTCATTTGCCCCGTCTTCAATGTATGCATTAAGCCTTTATTAAACGTTGATTTAATACCGCTCGTTATTTTCGTAGCGCCTGTAATTTCTGCTTATCTATCCTGGCTCGAGGATGTCGAAACGCGAAACGGGAATTACAGCGACAATTTAATTATTCAAACCCCAGGTCTCCGACCTTTCGGCTCCGAAAGCCGACGATTCCGGCGAGCTCAGACAGCATAAAAATGGAAAGTGGTAACGTAAGAGATAAGAGCTCAAAAAAACAGACTCATAAAAAGTGGAGGAGTTGAAGGAGGCACGAGGCTCGCAGAAGACGCGCGATGGAGAAGAGCGGGGGTGTTCGAAAAGGGACGGAAACGCGAAAAGAGCGTGACTCGCGTGGAGAGAAAGATGGCGACGTCGCGAACACGAGGGGGAGATACGCGGCGCCACGGTTGGTCGCGACCGCGTCGCTCAGTCTACCGGTGTCGACCGGCCAAACATGTCCAGCCGTTACTTTGCCAGTTAAAATCGCGTGGTTCGCATCCCTCGCTGCCACGATCTCCCGATCCGGTGATTACGGCTCGAAAAGTCGCGCGGAGTGTCTCGAATTGCGGCTCAAAACAAAAATCTTCGATCTACTTTGAGCCCATGCCGCGCTCAAAATAACGATACCAACGTGGTTTCTTTTGTAAATATTCGAGGAAAGTGCTGAGTCGCTGATTTGATCAAACGCGACGACGAGGGCTCAAACTTTCTTAGTTTGAGCCAACAAAATTGTGAAAAGTTTGTTTGGATTGTGTTGTGGTAGTGAGTTTTGTTCGAAACGTCGAATGGGACTCTGTAGTTGTTGAGTTTGTTACCAGTAACGAGGAAGAGTCACAAAAATTGTGCTCAAAACAGTGTGGTAGCAGTGAGTCTTTTTTTTTAAATATTTAACACGAGTTTGTAGGTAGTAAGTTGATTCAACGCAACGAGAGTTGCTCAAAATTTAATTAAGCGTAATCGATACTCTAATTCACAAAGTAATCAACCATCTTCGGGGTTCGAGCACCCCGTGTTATTTCACCTCAATTCTGTACTCGAAATTCTGGGAAATTTTATCAGGAAAATCGAAACGATCGACCGAAATAGTTTCTATCATTTGGAGAAGAAAATTATCGCCGAAGGTTGTACGTGTAGTCGCCTGCAAATATAAAAATTTAATTCCTTAATTTTCAATCCAATTTAATAAAACTCACGCCGATTCTAATTATTAATATTTGCACATGTCTTCGCGCTCTCGTATCGAGAATTTTAATCGAGAACGGATCGATGGGTACTAATTAACGAAAGTGCGATTCGCGATCTTTTCTTCTTCGTCTCGAATACGAGTGCGAAGAGAAAATTCTTCGAGATTTCCAAGCGGATAACAATTTATATATAAAAAAAAAAAGAGAAAGAAAACATATCGAGCATATCAAAATAGATTTAAATAAAGTTACACATGTTTCCCACTCCGGCACATTTCTTGCTGCCAGCCAACAAACTGTTCGCGGCGAGACATCTTGTCTCTTTCTTCCCCCCTCTCTCTCTCCTGTAATTCATAAACTCGAAATTGCGGTTGCTCTCGTATAGCCATCGGAGCAAATCGTTCGTGGCGGAAGCTCGTGCCGCCCTCCCCTTGTCCCCTAAAACGGAAATAATAACTCGCCTTCACAGGTCGATTCACGCGAGTTGCATGTGGTGGAAAATCCTCATGTAACACGCTGTTTTCCCTCCAAAAAGAATACTGTTTTCCGATCCGTTGGCATTGCGCTCGTAACACCGATGCCAAGGCGTAAAGCTGGCTGAAGCTCGACTGCCACAACCAGCCACTAGAAACGTTTACTTGTCCGATTCGACGAAAAATCTCCGCGATTCACTTTAAATGTGAAACATTCTTCTTCTTTTTTTTATTTTTTTATTTTTAAAGCTTAACGTGATTTATAAAAAAAAATGTTCTTCTGCACTTTAATTCTCTACAAAAGGACACAGTAAATAAGTCTCCAATATTCCACGAGTCAATTTATCACGCCTCGGTTGTGGTCTTAAGGATTTTAAAAATAAATCTTTCTTCGTCGTAACTTATACGCCGAAGACATCCTCAAGCCTCGGTCCGTCTTGATTTCAAAATAAAATGCTATACGTAATTTTGAAAATGTCAGGAATTATTGGGTAATTTTAAATTATTGACTTGAAAATATTAGGTGTCTCGAAAGTTTTTTCTTGTGAAAAAACAGATTTAGAAAATCGCAATGTCGTGTGCTGGCAATTTTTGCAATTCTTTTTATTTATTAATTGATGAAACTATAAACAAAACCATTGTTACTGCAATCAACTACAAACGAAATACTATCGTTTTCCATAAAAAAACATTAACATTTGGAAAGTCAAATCCCAGGTTCATATAGCTACATTAGGCATAAAATATTTTGTATGTATTATTATTTAAGAAAATGAAAGAAACTTTAGGGACAACCTAATAAAATCGAGTACAATAATACAGTCGAGCTTCTCTTCTTATAAACGAGGATCTCAAGAAAATTTATTCTCCTTTAAAGCAGAGAAAAATTAATGATCCGATTTATTAAAAAACATAACTCATTTTATACGAGTTATACTTGCTCCAGTGAACGAAGATTCCATGATAGGCATCGTAAAGAAGAGTAAGAGAAAACTGACTCCTTTCTGAATGCTCACCCAACGGAATGTTCTGCGGCATAAAAGGAAATTATCCCATTCCTTTTATCTCGTGCTACGTTCAAATTTCTGGCTAAATGGGAAATGCTAATTTTCCTTTAAAAAAAGAAAGAAAAAAAAAGAAAAAAGAGAAAGCAACCATAAGGACGAAAGTACCCGATACTCGTAAATAAAGTAATTATTGTTTCTCGCAAATGAAGTCATCATCTTCTGACATCACGTATTTCTTCGTACACGAGGCTCTAATAAAAGTTAAACGTACTGCTTGGAAACAACACAGGAGTCGAATGATGACACACTAGACACACAACAACAAGTCGAGAATACACAAATGAAGTTTTTCATTAACGAACAAGAAAGGATTCCACCTTGAACTTTCGATTCTTCCTTTATCGCATAGGAATTTTTAAGCCAAAGACGGGATAATATTCGATCAGAGAAAGAATCAACCTAATCCCTGACCGTCCACATAACAGTGGACGTTGCACAAGAGTCTCCTCGGTAGCTACTCGCAGGAACTCGCCACTTAACGAGGGACTCTGTACTCGTCTAGGAATGTTCCTCTTCTACTCAAACACGCTCGCGCTCCGAACCGAGTTGACTCCGCGCCTAACGATTACGCAAACCCGCTCTTTATTTTCCTGCAAGTTCGCTGTTTGATCATGAACAAGGCCGCGCGCGTTTAATTCACTGCCAGTGCGACAGGAACTGGCCGCGCGGCGTACGTAATAGCTCCATCGAGAAAACAGAACCGCGAAACTCGACGATTAACCTTTTTTATTGGCGATACGGCTCGCGTTGATTCCGTCTCCGCGTGCGACTGATTAAACTGAATGGGGTCTCGGACGAGCAGGATCGCCTTGGAAGTCGTTTCTCCTTTTCCGACTCGGAATTGCTGTCTCGCGGTCAGGGAGTTAGATATGACGGGATTAAGGGTGTTTGCGTTCGCGCTTGTTCGCCCATGTGCGAGTAGGTGAGGCCGCGGTTTATTACCTTTGGGATTGGCATTCTCTGAGCAGAGGCTTGGTACGATACAACGCCAATAATTATCTGGACGACACTGAATCGCAACTTTACCGTGACTGCGCACGGTTCCCCTTTGTACCAACGATCCCGTTCTCTGGCTACGTGATTTCGTCTTTGAGGAATCTCGACGCTATTCTTGAATTAATTCCCACCGTCCTTGTTATGGGAGCGTAATTATTCAGGAGCAACTCGTTCTTGAATAAATGAGTCAACGTTGATCTGTAAGATGTCATTCGTCGTGTAGCGATTAAATACAAAGCGTGTCTCATGTTTTTGTGTAGAGAGTACATCGACCGAGGCTCGGATAGAATTTTTGTTCACCTCTGTCAGTAATAACAGAGTTGTTTTTGAGTCTAACGCGAGATCTCACAATTCGGCCGTCGCTTCCAGCCGTCGCCTCTAACCTCTCTTCAGTTTTGCATACGCAAACGTCCGGCAACTGTTGGCGGCCAGCGAGTCGTCTCTATGAATATTGCAGTATGTAAATTCAGCCCTCTTGAACTTGCTCTACTGTCAGCACTATTTTCTCTTTCTACCCCGTCTCACCCCGTCTAACGTCTGTTGCATGCTCCTCTCCAGCGAAGGTCGTGCCGGCCTTTCAATCTGGATGCGTAACTCGTTCTTGCGTGTCAAGGCGAGCCCAGCCACGGGCGTTCGCCGAATCTGCGAGTGCAGATTTTCGGTGGAGAGGTTCCGCGATGTCAATTTCACGAAGATCCAACAATTTCTGAAGACATATGTCGGCCATATTGGATCCGCTATTTGGAATTTTGCAATTCTGATATCAGATTCGTAATTTGCGGTCCAAATGGCTCATAAGTATCAGATTTTATAAAAATCTAATAACTTTTACATATATGTACATGTCGGCCATATTGGATCCGCTATTTGGAATTTTGCAATTCTGATATCAGATTCGTAATTTGCGGCCCAAATAATTCATATATACAAAGTTTCATGAAAATCTAATAACTTTTTCATATATGTACATGTCGGCCATATTGGATCGGCCATTTTGAATTTTGCAATTCTGATATCAGATTCGTAATTTACTGCCCAAATGGCTCATAAGTACCAAGTTTTATAAAAATCTAATAACTTTTTGATATACATGTCGGCCATATTGGATCCGCCATCTTGAATTTTGCAAATTTTATATGAAATTCGAATTTTGCTGCTGAAATAAGTCATAAATACCATGTTTCATGAAAATCTAATAATTTTTTAATATACATTTTGCAATTCTGATATCAGATTCGTAATTTTCGTCGCAAATAACTCAAAAATACCAAATTTCACAAAGATCCGATAACTCCTAATTTTGGCCACCGTGTTGGCCATTCGAACCACTGTGCGACGCCCGCCGTGGCACCAGGAAACGAAGAAAGGCCTCGAAGACGACTTCCGTTAAAAACGAGTCCGAAATTCGTTTCCCAATGGCTGATAGTTCTCTAATAATGAAATCTATACATACGTCGATATAATTACGGGCGCACTTTGCATCTATTTCCGCATTAGCACCCGAGTGCATAATAGTTATACTGTAACTCGGAGCACCTGGTATCGCTTAACTTTGCTTTGTAATTGTATCTTTTATGGTTGTGTAATTGCACTCGCTCATAAATGCATAGCGTTAACACGAGCACGAGGAGCATTTAACGCCAATTAATTTTACCTCGTAATTCTATCCTCTATCGGTTTTGTAACCACACTTGAACGTAAATGCATAAACATTAATAGAGGCACGCGGATCATCTCGGCGATTTCGAATCGTAACGCTAGAAATAAGCGAACGAAGATAAAAATTGCAACCGGACGTTTGGAAAAATGGACGCGACGAACGGTGGTGTTTATCGAGCGTGAGGCTGACTTTATTTCAGCTGATCGATCGATATTTATGTCACGAATGCGACGACCCGCCTCGCCGGGAAATTATCTGTCCACGTGAAATTAGTTGGTCGCATGTTTCACCCTGTCCGAGTCGAGAGACTGGGATTTAAGTTCCGGCGGCGCTTCGGGCTTGATCGTTGGTCCATCCTCGGCTTAGCTCATCATTTTATTGCGAGCTAACAGACTGAGAGTCTATCGTAACGATTTCTCGTCTAACTGGTTTGGAATCTCTACCGCGCATCGCTTGGATTTCAAACTGGTTGTTGACTCACACCG